CTCTGCTCATTAAAAAAAATAAATGTCAGTTGTGATTACTATTTTGACCGATATGCATACTAATTATATTTTTTTCTATTGATCCATGCTACCGGTACTGAGTGAATAACTGGTAAGAATGTGTTTGTGTTTCTGTTTGTACGCAGTGTTGTTGCTAGCGTTTTATGTTAATAATTTTATTTTTTTTTTTATTTGAGAATTTTATCTTATTTGTAACATGTTTCTACTGAATTGAATATTCGTGAAGATTACCACCATATTTTCACCTAGTGTTTGCATTTTGTTGAATAAAGTTTAAATTGTGTCACAAGCAAAAAAATTTTAATAACTAAAATGTATTTTGATTATTCAGTCTTTAATTTTATATAATTTTATAGCGAGTTACTTGTATTTAATTGTTACAATGCAACTTCATAATCCGAACTTTAATAAACCGAATTCTTCGATAATCCGGACAAGCATTTGAATTGCATTGTGTACTTTATAACTGGAAATTCGGACCTGTGTTTTTAGATGATTACTTCATTCAAATTAAAGAAAAACTTAAATCGATCAAGAGGGATTCCCTAACTTTCTAAATTCGGCGGGATCTGATATCTGGCGGTTCACATAAGTAGTAAACAAAAATCTTGTGTTTTATTATTAATTTAGTAGAAACAGAAAGCCCAACCAAAGTCACATTCAGGCCATAGAAGAGTAATAAGAAAAACAAACTCAAGCCATGAACTGAGTGTCACTTTAAACCTTGAAAAATGGAAAATACAAATTTATTTTTATATTTGTTTAATCTTGTTTCCTTCACTCCATTACACCCCTCAAAATTCTCTGAATATGGCTTAATAATTATTATTCTGGTTTTAATTTTTGTGTGAGGTTAATTTATTAAATGCATGATATTCTTATTATAATACATAAACGTCTATAGATTCTTATTTCTTTCTAACGTTATAGGTCATACATCACAAATCCATAAACTGACAAGAATATTTCAATATTGTAGCTTACGCATGATTACCAGACGAGCAACTTTTTTAATTACTTATTTAAACGGGTAGTTAAATACTTTAAATAATAATTAAGCACAATTTATCTCAAGCTTTATATAAATCACAATATCTGTGTTAAGTTTTTTTATAAGTTTATTTTACACTATTATTTTTTATGCTTTTTTTTTTTTTTTTTTTTAACAATTTTAAAATCATTGCCCTATTTATTTTTACTTGTAAATAATTTGTTTCCAAGATCTGTTATTTTTTACAAGTATGTTGTAAGTTTTTTAATCTATTTTATGACCAATGTTGATTTTCTTTGGATCTGATTTTTATATTGTTTCTTTTCTTTAATTTTTCTTTATTTTTAACTATGCTAAAAGTTTACTATTAAACCAGTGAAACATGCTTTAACTGCAATATTATGGGGTTTATATTCATAAAACATTGTATGTTCAGATATAAACGTTTTATTTTTGTGTTTAAAGTGCCTGTAATGTTAAAAAAGAAATGCTAAACATGTTGTGGTACCTCTGTTGACTCTAAAAATGTGTATTCTCGACAATTATATTATAATAATTTTGTTAAATTACCTACCAATACAAAATAAATTAATACATTTTACTCCGTACTTTATGTATTTCTTAAGACTCCTTCTATCCTCTATCGAAAATTTGGTTTACACATGAACTGTGACATAGTTTACTATAATAATAATTAAAAACCAAACCCATCATTCTGATAAGGGCAAAAAGTAGTATACCCGGATAAAACGAATGATTTGTTAAGTTATTTACTGAATACCAAAATAACACCAAACTAAATTACATTTTTCAGTTATTTAGTTATTTTACCATTTCATAAATAATTCAAAAACTATCCATGTTTGTTCCATATCAAAGATAAATGTTTCCACATGATCGCCTTTTCTTCTGCTCAATAATGAGCAAGCAAAACTAAACACTTGTTTTTTCATCACACCTACTATACCCTATGGCCGAAATTATATGGAGTGATTCATACATAATAATATCAGACCACCATAACTATTCAACGGTTTGTCTAATATAAATATAATAGAAGTATTCCATGCGCGCAAATTTATCTCCGCTCCTATAGGATCAGTGTATTGAAGCAATTGATATATCAGAGGGCGCTATTTATATATATTTTTAAAAGCTATGTTTAAATAAATGCCTGTTGCTCCTACATTAATGTTACTATTACTTCATTTGCGGTCTACTTAGCACCCTTTAAACTGTTTACTGCCGTTTTTTGGGCGTTTTTTATGTGCAAACATGTTTTGAAATAAACTTATTAATAAAAACATAATCTACACCAGCGTACCGTAGAGGAGCTCTGGGACACAGTGCTCATTGTACGCCATGTTCACACGCCCACATTCAGGAGTCTCAACCGTCGACAAGTTATTACTTGTTTTATAAGCGGACTGAGTAGTGCATTGTAAATTCTTGTTGTTTTTAGACGTGGAAAAATTATCTGCCATGGACCATTGGCTACAAACAGAATGATCAGACACCACAGGAACAGGGCCTGGACCTTCTACACTTTAGAAAATTATTTTCTAAAGTGTAGAAGTTCCAGGCCTTGGTTCCTCTGGTGTCTCCGATGGCATGTTTCTGTTTGTAGGCTGAAATTTTTAATTTACAATTAATATATTCAACATCTTTTTTATGGAACAACTGCATTGATGTTTTCGCTGATGGAGGAAGAGCTATGGTTGGAAAAACTGCAGGTCAAGAATCAAAGTTGTAGCTAAAAATTGCAGCAGTATAATGACTAAAAGATGGCAGTTTCTTTGAAAAATGTCAGGGAATATCCAGAGTTGTCAAAGAAAGCTGTTAATACCACAGAATACCCCTGTGGTTAATACCCTGTTACCAGATATGAGACTACAACTTGGTGGTGGTAGAGGTGGAGTCTGTAGCTCAGTTAGTAAAGGCGCCGGCTGGCAAACAGGAGATTGCAGGTTCAATCCCTGGCTGCGCCGGCGGATTTTTCACTGGCTCAGATTTCTCTCATGGGTTAGATGGTAGAGTAGCTGACAGTTATCTCGCCCACGTTAAAATAAAGGGGCATTAAAAAAAAACTATATTCAATAAAACCAAACAAAAAGAAATCTGTGCCAATAAAAAAATAGCAGAACTCTTCCATCAATTTTGTTAAAAACATAAAATATAAGCAATAAAAATGTATAAGTATAATATATTATTAGTTTTCCCTCGTTATCATTTTAACCTTCTGGAAACTTTACTATGACGAGAAGCTCACAGCAGTAAAATATTTGGCTGCACCGATCATTCGCGTTGGTGCGATGTTTTGTAGTAGGAATAACACGTGTTTTATTTTTTAAGAGATATCCAACAAAAATTCTATTTTTAAGGGCAAAGATAATTCTTTTAAAGGAAAAAAAGTTCGAACGGGAACGGGAATCGAACCGCTGCGCGCTGATCCCTCGCGCCTGGGTGCCGATCCTTAACGGTACTCCTATAAGAGAAGCCAAGAGAGGTGAGTATCGATCCCGTATTCTCAAACACTCCTCTCCAAAGATATAGCAAGAGAGAATCGCCTCTACTGCTTTAACCCAGTAGAGGATCTCATATCCAGAGAATTGTTAACTAGTGACATGCGCCTTGAAGTTATTGTGAGGTGAACCGTGCTCAGAGCTCCCGTGTCCTCTCATAGGAAGTTCTCACCTCGCACGTCGTCAAGGATCGGCCCCCTGAGAGAAGGAAAATTTACTCATGTTTTACTGCTGGGAGCGGCTCGTGTACATAAACTAACTATACTTTATGTTAGTTTATGTCGTATACTACCGGCTCCACACCGGCTCTGTCATATAGAATTCAACTATAGGGCAAAGAATATTTACGTATACGAACGTAAAATAAATATTCTTTGCATAGGGGCTCCGGGCTTAAAAAAAATTGAGAAACGCTGATCTACACCATAGAAAACCAATATATTCATAGTTAGTGATATCTTTTCTATGATCTAGACCTTCGACCATAAGTAACTAGACGTAGCTTTGTACCACGTGACCTGATGCCTAAACACTGGGTCCGGAACACCAGTTTCTGATTGGTTAACTAGAGTTGACCCATTGAAATTTTAATTTATCACGGCTTGTTCGCTTCCCCCTCCTGTAAAATCTTTGTTTATCTTGGCTTCAGCCTTCTATTGAATTTTCCGCCTTAAGCTATATCTAGGTAATATATGATCGAAGATCTAGACGAATTTGTGTTATTAGTACATACTGTGCCATACTGTGTTATTAGTACATAAATGTTAATTTAAAAAAATAATGTCCGGAAGGTGGCTTGGTTTTTGTCGCTGACATTATTTTAGCCTCATTCCAAAGCAGCCCAAAAATTTCTAGCATAATTTATCTATGATTTCTAGCGATACTGCGCCAAAAAAGATGTCTGTAAAATGATAAATGACAGTAAGTAAAATCAGCAGCCGGATCACGACACTCGATACTCGATTGAAATACGTCATGTTTATTCTATCATCGCAAAACTGCGTTCACGACATTCGATAAATCGAGTATCGAGTCTCTTCGATCGAAATCATTCGACAGAGGACGAGCTATCGAGTGAGGTTAGGTGTACTTTTGTTTTGATCAGAGATTGGCTTCCCAACATATTTATCAAATTAAATTAATAATTGTGAATAAAAATACAGTTTAGACTATAGAAATGCTTCCAATTTTTCATGAGGGTTTTTAAAGATGCTTGAACAATTTAAAAGTTCTCCATCGACGACATTTGCGTATGGAGCAGGATCCTTTACCCGATGCCAGGTTTGTCGAGTTATTCTCCTGATTATCCAGAAACTTGATTGAAATTGCGTAAGACTTCATATATACCTGAAAGAGAATTTTATAGATCAATAACAGTTGAAAAATATGGTTCTTTGTACTCTAAGATTTTATGCTACGGGCAGTTATCAAAGGTGTCTTGGAAAAGAATACAATTTTGGAACAACTCGTGTATTATATCATCAATTTAAAATGTGACGCAGGCGCTAATTCCGTATATTTCAAGGTGAAACGCTCTAAAAGAAGAGTTACAAAAACAGTTTCTTCAAAAAAATAAGTTTCATCAACCCAATTTTTCTATTTTTTATTTTTTTTATCATGAACAGAGCTCAGATTTTTGCCTCCACAGAAAATGAATCAGTTTCGTGAAATGCACTAAACTATAACTGCAGCAGTCACAACTGATGAGCAACAAACTGCTGTGATGTGATATGTAATACACTAATAGCGTTTTCTACTTGATGAAAACTCGGCACTCATGCAGTGTTTTGCACGTGGTGCGACACTGAGTGTATCTACTATCCTGCTTTAAAAATATGGTTAACTAGGAAAGGACCAAGATACACTCAGTGTGCACTGAGTGCCGAGTTTTCATCAAGTAGAAAACGCTATTACTAATTACTTTTCCGTTTTAATCATGGACAAGAAATCCATGCCACAGTACTGTGTCCATGCTTTCTGGATCTTTAATGCAAGATTTCATCACTGAAAAAAGTAACAGTTTGCTTATGGACGTAAGAGCGTAACAGTTAATTAAAAAATGTAACAGTTCTGTTACAATTGTAATATACTGTCAACACTATTTTTATTCAACGCGTCCTTTCGGCCATAAACTATTCAGTAGGGAGGTAACTTGATTGCAGATCTGTTGCAGGATTGGAAGAAATATACCTAGATCGGAAAAATACCTAATTTTTTTTTATACTGTGCATTGGAAAATTGACGCTGCCTTCAATTTCCCAGCTCTGCGAGGCGATGTGGCGGCTCCATCACCAATTGTGAGCGACAAATGAAGAAATACTTTCAACTAATACAATTTTTGAAGGGCTTTAAATTATTGGCAAGTTAAGTTCCGTGAGATATAACTTGTGTGATTTTTTATGATCACACTACCGAGCTACTTACTTGTAGCTACCGAGCTATAATAAAATATGGTCGCGGCTATAATGGTAAATGAATCAAGAAGGTAGTAACTTTACTGATTAACGTTAAATCTAGGAACGTTGAACATGAATAGTATTGTTAAGGTCCCAGGTCCCACTTTTTGTTTACATTTGCCCAGAATGATCCATCATTCTCCAATCCACACGAAACGAAGCTTTCTCAGGCGGGATCCCCAAACGAACGTTTTAGCGGACTGGCGTACCGCGGATCTACTGAAAAAAACAGGCGTTCCTTCCTCACGCTATCCTAAATGCGGAAAGCGGAAACTTGACACATAACCTAAAAATTTTGTTGTGTAGTTATATTTATTTTATTAGTTAAGTGCAAATTATGCTATCTGTTATGGAATCGAAGACGTTTGACAATGTTGATGATGCAAAATAGAACGAACAACATCAACAAACAATGAAAATTAACATTGTTTATCAAAAAAAACGGTTCGATGCTCTCATCATTATTAAGAAGAGAAAATAGGACCCGCTTGCCCCAAAAAAAAAAAAAAAAAGGGGGTGTTCCCCCATCCCCCCCTCTCCTCTTCTTTTCTATCCTAAAACAAATATCTCTTTTCTTCCCCAACCAAAAGAATTGGGTTGGCAACTTTTCTAACAAAATTGGCGTACTGACCTTGAACTGAAATTACAGCGTGTGATTGGTTGAGAATATTTGTCCGCGTCCGCCCGGCCGCTAAAACGTTCGTTTGGGATCCCGCCTAACTTTAAGTGGAATAAAAATGGCGGCTATTACATTATTCTCCTGAAATTTGGATATGCAGTGGTCTAAGTTTATACTATAGTTCTGATATATATTATTTCTATGGTCCATCCTGTCACTGCTGTCAGTGCTGTCAGTTATCAGTTTTGCTTTTGTTTTTGGTAGTGGTAGTTGATCAGTTGCGTTGTTAGTTGTGCACCATACCTGCTTTTAATCTTTTGTAAGCTCCTAATGAAAAATGTAGTTAAATGTTATCAAAGAATTTTTTTTGTAGTTTTAAATTAATGCACAGAATGTGCTGCGATTCGAATATAAACTAATAAAAGTATAAGTAAGTAAATCAAAGTTTCATTCAGCAACGACAATTTGTCTGCCCAACATCAAGTAACAAAAGGTTTGTTTGTATTTTTAGGACGAACGGACAAATTTTTTTCGTGTTGAGTCATGGACGAAGACACGGAATCTATTCCATCAAATGTTCCCGAATCTCCAAAACCTCTGGCCTTCACAATAGATTTTGGTAAAAACAAAAATGTTGATACCCAGAGGCAAAAAGCTTTAGCTGAAAAATTCCAGAAAAGGCATAAAAGGGGTCAGTCTTTATCGAAAATTGGGGATGCAGCAGCCTCTCAATCTACAAAACAACACCCTTTAACTGGCAACTTGCCCAGAAAATCCAGCTTTCAGTCGGAGGGATATTTTTCATCAGATGAGAAAACTGATAGAGCTAAAAGTGCGAGAGGTTCTGGTAAGCGTAGTGAATTAACTTTAACGCTGAAAAATGTAACGTCTGATAGAATGACACAGTCTTTTCCTAGTGCTATCCTACCTAGTATCACTAGTCCTGACGATATTGAATTAAAAGATATATCAAGTCCAGGGTTAGGCCTAATAAGCCCTTTTAGTCCAAAAGAGCAATCATCCAGTACTTCCTCAAATTCAGTTGTGAAAAACCAACAGGTTTCTAGTCCAGACTGTGGGAAGTTGCATATCACGGAAAATACTGATAATGAGAGCGTCTTCATAGATGGGCCTGAATTCGATTTTGATAAAAAATCTGATACAATAAGTGATGCAGGAACGTATCGCGTTAGATGCTGAAAATTACTCAGAAGAGCAAAAGGCAAGAATGAGTATAGATAGGAACTTCAAGATTGAACAAGTTTCTGTGCAAAAGAAAACTGAAGATTATATCAAAGTCTTTCCACAATAAAAGATCATGTATCACAGAATACACAAATTTCAACATTTAATAAATCTAATTTAAAAGAAAAAGAAACAGCTAGTGGAAT